ATGACTTGATGTCACCCATTTCATAGATACCCTCATAATAATACCTAGTATAATTTCTTATCTTCCTGATGAAGGAGAAAAGTAGCATATTAATTTTCTTTTATGTTTAGATCTATCTAAAAGCATTTAAAAGTAAAAACCACCTGGATGCTGGTGGCTCACACCTGTAATTCTAGCTACTCAGGAGGCTGAGATCTGAAGATCATGGTGTAGAGCCAGCCTGGGAAGGAAAGTCTGTGAGACTCTTATCTACTCAGAAAAGCCAGAAGTGGCATTGTGGCTCAAATGGTAGAGCACTAGACTTGAATTCAAAAGCTCAGGGACAGTGCTCAGGCCCTGAGTTCAAGCCTGGGACTGCAGATAGATAGCTAGATAGCTAGATAGCTAGATAGCTAGATAGCTAGATAGCTAGCTAGCTAGCTAGATAGAGATAGGTAGGTAGATAGATAGATAGATCTTTACCACCATCTCTCTATATAAAAAGATATAAATGGATTTATTAATTATATTCCTGTGAACAGAAATACAATATGGGTAACAGAAAAATTGAATTATGTTTTATAGCAAGACCTTGTCTTTAAAAAATAATGAATACAAAGGATGGGAAGGGGAAACAAAAGAGGAGGCTACAATGCTTGATAAGAAATGTACTCATTATCTTGCCCATGTAATTGTAACCCCTCTGTACAATATTTTCACAATAAAAAAATAAAAGCAATATTTCAACATAAAAATAATGAATACAGTAATTCATTTTGCTGGTCATAAGGTATTATGATAACCTGCCACTACTGGACATTCCTGGGCTTGTACAAAACTGAAGATGCACATGAACAGGGCTGAGCTGAGCAGGCCACCTGTCAGGCACGCATGCGCTTGACCTCAGTTCTGCAGTATATGGCTCTCATGTATTTGGATCACTGATGACTTGATACTATGTTACTATTCTAGGTGAGTGATAACATAAAATAGAAAGTGAAATGATGGAATGTGATGTTCATATTATCTATCAGCATAATGCCAAAGAACAGCCTGGTCTATTTTTTTAGGCAGAAAGCTAAGTTTGGTCTTTTAGGTCCACAGTATGAGACTGAGCAATGGTCATTAACTCTACTTACAGAAAGGTACTGTTGGTGACATGGGTGAGGGGCAGTCTTGGAGAAATCACAAAAGCTGGATTCTATCACGAGATAAATTATTTATACATAGGGCTATTCTGAGCCAAGTCTTTGTGCTTGTTTTCTCATTGCTAATGGACACCTATTAAGAAAATATTTATACTTCCTATTTATTAGACTTTTATATGTAGTAAATAAAATAACATAAAAACCACTTAAAGGTATCTCTTACAAGTCAAAAATGTAAGAGCTAATAATTGAGAAAATGAACACTTGGAAAAGTCAAGTTTGCTTAAGCTCATTAGATTTCTTTGTTTCTTAGCTACTTACTTGTTCACTTTCTGAACAACTTTGGATTTTATGAAACACATTCTTAATATTTTTTCTGTATAAAGACAAACATCACCTTTCTGTCTTCATTTGTAAATATTCATCTTAAATAATTAAAATAACTCCTATTACTTCTCTTGTTCAGTAATTACTGTTTTCTCTTAAGAACTGCTTAAACATTGAAGGTATCCCAATGGCCAATAAATTTGTCAAAAATTTGATTGTGTTTTTATGTTGGTTACCCTATAATTTAACCTTTTTTTCATGACTCATTTCAACTGATTCTCTATTTTTCTCAGCATTCATAAAATGAGCATGATTTGGAAAACATGTCATCAAATGACACCGCTCTCCAGAAATTTTATAAGCAAGTTGGTGCCCACAAGTAATCCCTGACTATTTCCCTGTCATATTCCAACTGGGAGAAAGGTAAAAGTTTATTAAACAAAGATAAAGACATCACGAATGGAGACCTCTATCAACTCCTTTGAAAAATCAGATGAAAAAGGATACTAGATTCATTAGGGAAGAATTACAAAAACACCTAAAAACTCAAACTAAAACCTTAAGCCTTAATTTAAGTTTTATAAATGTGCATGAAGTCACTTAACATTCTATTATACTGAAAAACCATGGCTCAGTATTATGAAAGCTGTTTCTATAAAAAGCCTCAGTTAGTGGCTGGTTGTGTGGTTCCAGGTGACAGCATTGTCTCTGGGATAGCTGAGATGTGGGTGTTTAAGGTTCAGTGAAAGATAAAATGCTCTTCATTGTTGTAATCTAGATGAAAGCTCTCTACATACCCCATACACTTCTATTAAACGCTTCTAACCTTTTGTGTAAGACTTCAAATGGAAAGACTGGGTTTCTAGGTCAGCTCTAGATTTAGGGTGTATAAGTGAGCACTGAGCTATAAAAGGCAGGCTTTAGTCTGAGTCAAGTGCTTTCACTTCTATATTACAAAAATAACGTATGAATAAAATGAGCATAAATTTCCAAGTATCATAATAAAGGTACAAGGAGGTATGTTTTGGACTCTCAACATACTTCTCTGTTCAGTGTGAGAAATAGCAGGTTAAGAAAAATAATGACACAGTGGCATAAGTAGAGAAAGTGGTAGTGTTAAACAACCTAATTCTGAGTGGAAATAACACTATAATACAGAAAAGGCTAGCTAACAGGCATTCCAGCAGGCAAGATCATGCCAAACATATTCTCATCTTATATTCAAATATATAATATTAAAATAGTTTATTTGTGTAAGTTACCTTGCTTTGCTAATGATAAAAAAGAGTTCGCTGTGATTTGCTTTTGTCTTTTGGTGGTGATTTAAAAGACAGGATAATAAATTGCTAATTATTTTTTACATTATATTTTATTTTATAAGTGACAGGATAGTTTATTAGGAAAGGAATGCACTTTTAATAGCTGAAAGTAGGTCATGTCTAGGGCAAGAAGCACAATTATTTTTATCCTAGCACAAGGTTTTGTAGAAGTGTTAAGGGATTAGAACTTGGTTAAGTCTCTCGCTAGACCAACTCACTGCAAAGACTCTTCATCCTCTGTCCATGGAAGTTTAATGAAATACTTTTGACCTCTAAGGTATGCTTTTTTGGCCTGCCTGGGTCAGTTGTGAATCTAACATTTTAGGAACTATTAGTTGGACCACCGTAGGCTGGAATGAAGTCTATTAGTATTTCTTAGAAGGGCTACTAAAAATCAAATCCCATCTAGTGCCATTCCATGACTTGGTGAGACACCTAGGCTGTTTTTCTCTAAGTTGGAAAGTTTACTTACAATTTTCTCTCAGAGAACTTGTGATCTTATCCTTGCTTTCCAGTTCATTTCACATTTGAAAATTGGAAACACAGAGCTAAAATGTAAAACCTATATTCTAATAACACACATATATCAATTGTAGTTTAGGAGGACATCTCAAAAAGAAGCAGTTATCTACTTGACACTATCTTGCCTGAAAGAACAATGGTGAAGCTTGATGAGTTTAATAAATTTTTAGACTATGGGAGACTGCTGACTCTTCAATACTTAGTATATATATAGTTTTCTGAAAAAGAGATTATAATATTTTTCCCACCATCAGAATAAGTTGATCGTGAAAAATCACACAATGTCATTTTGGAGCAAGAGAGCTGTGGATATGAGCTTGCTCAAATGCTAAAAGATTTCTCTACTTTCCCAAAATCAGGAGATAAATTTATTGTTAATTTTGTTGCTTACTAGGAAAGTTTTAAAGAGAGTCTTGCTTTCAAATTAAATTTGGGCACTAAAGAAGAGACAGGAAGGACCTGGTCAGAGTTAGGAGATAATGTTTCAGCCATCATAGATTAAGGAAGCAGGAAAAAACAAAACCAAGGAAAGAGACATATGAACCAGTATAGACGCAAACATTTAAACCAGGGAGTCCTTAAATAGACTGAGTCTAAAGCTAAAATTACTTAATGCATTTTCAAACATGCAGACACTACAGAGTATTTCTAGACACACAATGATAATGCATGTAATATGAGACAGGAGCTGGCCTATGTTGGCTTGTATGACACTGGAAAAATTTCAGTGGTATTTTAATCTAATGTGCTACTATAGGCTAAAGCCTTGCAAAACGATGCTCACTGAACATGGACATCTTGATGTTTCAATATGGCAAATTAATTTATGATGGATATAAGTAACTGAAAACTACTCTCAGAAATCCCTAACCTCAGTATGTTTGAGGAGTAAACCCTCATCACTATTCCCTTAGGAATACAATCATTCCTTTCCTGTAATTGTCAGGTTGCCGAGCAATTCACAAATTTGATATATTGGGCATGTCCAAGAAGCTTAATTTGTATTAATCACCGCATCCCTAACGCCTAAGCTTTGAATTATTCTGAATGCATATCCACATTTATTTACAAATAATTCCCTGCCCTGTTTTAAAATAATCAATGTGTTTATGGGCCTCTTCTGACAATCACCCACTCATTCACAATCATTAATAGCCAACAGTAAAGTCAACCTCAATTTGCTTTCAACACTAAAACAATTATTTTGGTGATTCTTTCTTGGAAGGCAGTATGGTAACATTATTGTTTTGGTACTCTCAATGTATCATTTGGTAACAGAGATACTGGGCTTCAGTAGGGGATGTATTTGTATGAGAAAGAAAAAAGTGCCTGAATCCGAGGTGACTATTTTCACTGGTGACTATTTTTATTGGCCTAGTTATAACAATGTCTCATGTGCAGAGTTAAACTTCTGAAAGTAGTGATATAAAGAACAGCAGCAAAGCCGGGTGCTGGTGGTTCATGCGTGTAATCGTAGCTACTCTGGAAGTTGAGATCTGAGGATCACGATTCAAAGCCAGCCCAGGCAGGAAAATTCGCGAGACTCTTACCTCCAATTAATCACCAGAAAACTGGAAGCGGTGCTGTGGCCCAAGTGTAGAGTACTAGCCTTGAGCTGAAGAGCTAAGGGACAGCACCCAGGCCCAGAATTCAAGCCCCACAACCAACCAAAAAAAAAAAAAAAAGAACAGCAGCATTTCCTTACCTTCTATTGCTGATAAGAGAACCCGGGAATGATCATATGCAATTACATTTGCATATCTGTTCTTTGGTTTATTTACTTCCAAGTTTGAATGTTCCCATGTGAACTGTTGGCCAGGGTCAATTGACTTTAAAAGAAAAACAGCACACACAAAATCAATACCGGATACTGCAGAATTATAGGCATTTATCCCAAGTAACAAACATGATTTGAAAATAAATTTCTAAAGCCATATTCTATCAAGATGATTCTGTGAAGCTGTCACGAAGGATAACATAAAATGATTAATTATAGTAAGAAACAGTAATAGTCACTAACATTGATGCAGATGAATAAAAATCAATATAGACATTCTATTAACATTAGAAAAGCAGGTTTGTATATTTACTTTGTCACTTCCTTCTCTATTGTTCTAGATTACGAGTTATGTTGGCTAGTTATTTCTTTGGGTTCTGTGAACATTATTTTACCTTTATTCCTCTTCCTTAATTTTTCTTTTTTTTTTGGGTCCGGTCGTGGGGCCTGAACTCTGGGCCTGGGCGCTGTCCCTCAGCTCTTCAGATCAAGGCGAGCACTCTACCACTTGAGCCACAGCGCCACTTCCGGCTTTTTTCTTTTTGCTTATGTGGTGCTGAGGAATTGAACCCAGGGCTTCATGCATGCAAGGCAAGCGCTCTAGCACTGAGCCACCTCCCAGCCCTTCCCTAGTTTTTCTTATCTAGCCCTAAGCTCAGTCCTTAAGTTGACTGGTCTTTCACAGGCTCCACTGAACGTGGGCTGTATGGCTGGCTCTGTATTATATGCTACATCTTCATGGGAACTTAAGACTATGTCTGTTTATATATATATATATATAATATATAATATATATATAATTTTATATTATTACATATATCTATACAAAACATGTATATAAATGCTATACATATAACATTCATATATATAAATGTTAATATGTATTACATATAGAATTTATAAAATTCTATAGTTAACAATAACAGTAAGGAAGCAAATCATTAAAAGTTCATCATGGTGCCGGGGGCCAGTGGCTCACACCTTTAATCCTAGCTACTCAGGATCCAAGACTCATGGTTTGAAGCCAGTGCAGGCAGAAAAGTCCTCATGAGACTCTTATCTCCCATCAACCACTCAAAAACTGGAAGTGGTAGAGTGCTAACCTTGGGGGAAAAAGAGCTTAGAGACAGCACCCAGAGCCTGAGTTCAAGCCCCACCACCAACAAAAAAATCACCAACAACATGATCACCAACAACAAAATATCATCATGGTGGGAAAATTTATAATCCAAGGTGAACAGAATCTAATGATGTTTCTATTTATTATTACAACTTTTCCATTTATCATGGATTGTCATTTTATTATCTAATTTAGTTCTCTTCATTCTCTATTTTAAATTTTTATATTTTAAATATTTTTATTTGACATCTTCAGTCCACCCAAATTATTCTACAATCTAAAGTAAATATTACAGATTATACATATGTATATGTTTATAATTACGTTGAACTATTATTTTTCAGATAAAATTCATGCTTGATTACAAAACTTGAGGGAATATTTTACTTTCTATGAATGCTACAGTAAAGAAAACACATTTTCCTTCATCATAGGATGCAGACATCATTTTAACATTTCTCATTTCATGGTATATGGCAATGTGAGTTAAGTAATTATATAAACATGATTTGAAAAGATCACAATCAACTTTTCACAAATAACACTCAAATAGGTTTGTGTCCAGGTGATGAATTTTAACTAGTTAAAGGAAATTTTTGGAGTTATTTTGATGTTGTTTTTCCATGCGTTTATATGTGAAAGTAAAACACATGTAACACCTGTCACAACATTAAAGATGAATACATGCTGTTAAAAGACAGAATCAAAGTTGGGTGCTGGTGGTTAATGTGTGTAATCTTAGCTACCTAGCAGGCTGAATCTGAGGATTGTGGTTTGAAGCCAGCCCAGGCAGGAAAGTCCATGAGACTCTTATCTACAACAAACTGTTTTGAAAAAAGCCAGAAGTGATGCGGTGGTTCAAAGAGGCTTGGGGACAACATCCATGCCCTGAGTTCAAGCCTGAAGACTGGCAAAAATTAAAATTAAAAAAAGAGTTCTGCATAATGGAAAAAACTCTCAAGCCATTCAAGTTAAGAGTTTTGCATAGTCCCAAACCTGCTGAAAACTTCAGCATTAGATATTATAGCTTCTCATTTATTAAGGAATATGCAGCTTCCTTTCCTTATCTTACTTGTGGAAATCTAGATATACGAATCAATCATTCAGTGGTTTTCAAAAACAATCAATGACTCTTGAATTTAAAGAATAGTGATAGTAAAACCCAAAGAACAATGCTATTGTGGTCTAAAGAATAGCATTATTAAAGAACTTTCTAGTTTTTTTTTTCAGGGAGATGTGTTTATTTCCTTGATCAGCATAATCCTCTCCAAATATTCGATGGGCTTTAAAAAAACTGAAGCACTCAGAGGACAGAGAAGAAGCCTTCAATTCATCCTTGAACCTTGTCTGCTTATAACGGTTCTTTTGGTGACCAAGAGCCACCTTTAAAAGCTCTCACATTCATCTCTGGACACCCAACTGACATTTCCAATCCAGACTTTCAAATATCTGCAGTCTGACAGAAATCCTTCCTCTATTTTTTCCAAGCTATTCGACGCATCAATGTCAATGCTGGTTTTTAAGCACAGGTGTAGACTAGGTTCCCGTTTAAGAACTGTTCCTGGCTCTGGGTAAGTTAAGAGTTGAGTTATAAAATCCTTCCTCACAATCCTGCCTACATATTTGTAGCCATCTTCTCATGTATACTTGTAGCTGGCTCAGCGCATGGCTTAATAAAAGATTAAAAAAAATAGAACCTATGATTAAATGTTCTTGAAAAAAGTTCACGATGAGAAACTGTATGTAACATGAAAGTTAGAGAACAAACTTAGGGAACTTCAATAAACAAATGTATCAAAAATCTTAGTACTTAACACTCATTACCATATAGCATAGTAATTAAGTATATAAAGCTGAAATGATAAATAATACTGATACTCCTTTTCTCCTGAGGAACATTAGTGGCTACAGCAGCCTCTTACACATTATTATTTCAAATATTTTAAGAAGCTACTAAGCTCACAGATATACAGTGCTTTGAGGAAGGACATTATTTCCTCTAACAGCCTTGCTGTTACTCGGACTAAGATCCCTACCTCTGTATACAATGGTGGTGTGTGTCATTGTGATAGCGGGGCTTCATTTACTAATTCAAAGACACTGTTCGCTAACTCATGCTTATTTCTGCTCTTGCCACATATTCTCAGACCTCTGTAGTAATTGCAACACTGGTGCCTTATCTCAGTCTTAGAAGGGTTGAAATCATCTCACAATGTGTTTATTGGATTGGAGTTCTCCTACTTTTTTGGGGCTGCAGGAGGGTCAGTCACCTGCCAAGGGACAACCAGACCTAGGGCTCCGCCCTGGGGTGGGAGCAGGTCTCTTGTCTCTTGTTCCCCACCGTAACCTAGACTATTTGGTCCCTACCTTTAGCCCCCTTTTCCCTATATGCCAACTACACTGAAGATTTTTAAAACTGGTAATGGAAAAATGAGCAGGGCGCCACATGGAAAAATGAGCAGTATGTTAATATGTTTAGGCTTTCAGGTACGCTCCATGAGACTAAGTAGCAGGATAGTTATACTAGTGCAGTGTGATTTATGTTTTTTGATGGTTAAGAGGTTAAGCTTTCTATTTACTTTTCATTTGGCTGCTGAGGAAATGAAAGTAAAGAAAGACAAATGAGATAAATCTTACTGATCACCTTCTTTATGGCAGGCACAGTGCTAACTTAGTGGTTAAGTAATTTGCCTAAATTTGCATAGCTAGACTCAGACAAGTTAGTCTCAAACTCATGTTTGTAGGAGTTTAAAGTTCAGCTTGTAATTACCAGCTGGTAATTACAAAGTTAAGATGCTTTGTTAACACTGGCCAGAATGCCACTAAAATATGGAGAAGGCCAACCTACAAAACCCTTCTCTCCAGGACCATCCTTTACCTAGCCAATGTGAGTGATATTTCTTCCCAACTTACCATCCTGTGTCATTCTAGGACAATTATATAAGAAATCAAGTTTTAAAAATGAGGTTGGCTTCACATGGATGATGAAACAGATGGGCTGCAGCTTACATTTATACTTGTTTTACACGGATCAAACAAACATTGATTAAATAATGCTGACTTGTCTTTGTGCAACACAGCACTCATCCATCTGTATCTATCTGTCTGACTAAACATTTAACGATACACAGCACAGGTCATTGTTTTTCGAGCTTGTCAGAATGCTGAGAGCAGAAAACTCAGCAAAGAAGAATAAATCCTGAAAGTTGTTGAGGTGTACTAAGTTTACTTCCCCCTTCCCCCCACAAAAAAAGACTTATTGAAGGAAATCACATTTCTATTATCCAACTAAATAAGCCAGCTATATCATCAATGACTAAGACCCTAATTCTTAAAACTCACTCTGTAGGCCTTACTTAGGGGCCAGAGATGGGGTACTTGCTTTGCCTTCTTTTGTCCTTGGCTTCTTTGTTGCTGGTTCTTGAGGTTGAAGAAATGTCTGACATAGAGAAGGAAAATCCAGATCTTGACTAAAACTGGAAGTGATTTCCCCTTTACCTCAAATTTTGGCTAGTCTACTGTGACTATTCATCTTCCTAATATAAAATCAAGCTGGGGGCACTCAACTGTTTTACAAAGCAATTTAAAATAAGCACTCTGCCCAATGGACTAAAATTAATACTTTCTTTGCATTTTTCACAATCTTGTCTCTACTCTTTTTTTATCACCTGGCTTCATCTACCCAAACAACCTTCTGTTTGATAATCACCTCTTTGCAGCTCTTCAAGCCAACATACTGCTTTCCTGAGCTAGAGTCCTGGTTAGGATTTCTTCAGGCTTATTTGAGGAGAATTTTGCAAGCTGGCAAAGAATAAAGTATGTTTATTCAACCTAAAGTTGATTACCAAATTTATCCTACACTATGAAAAATTTGTACATAATTTATAAACACAGGTACTCGTTCATATTTGTGTTTGTTTATCCAGTCAGTC